TTGGGAACCAGAAGGAGGTGCTTCAGACCATCATGGGCCACACTCAGGCTCTGAACCTGAGATTTCTTTTGTCTAGGTGCTCAYGAAGTTGAAGAGCCCACCTCAGGAAACGGTGATAGACTGAAGTAAAATATAAACCAAATGAATACAATGCCAAGCATATCGGATCCCAAGACTGCTGGGGCCTCCTCCAGGAGCACTCGCATGGAATTTTAATGATTGACCTTTTGTGCTGTCTGAAAAGCTGGAACTCTCCATCAAAACTGCAGCATGAAAAGTAACATGAAGCACTTATCCATCAGCTCTGGCATAAGAATCGCAATAAAATGAAAGCTGCTTAAGCCTTACAGAATAAGAGACAAATCAAGATAATTGGAAATTTAGGTTTGTTGACAGACAAACTGCAGGTTCTGCTGGCGTTTCTAAATATGAAACATTTGCAATGGGTAATCCTCCTTTCCTGGTTTGTTTTCTTCAAAGAGCAGATTGGTTTTCTCAGATTCATGATTTGAAATAATTCAGCTACCTTCTGTGAACCAAGCTTATTCTGTAAATAGCTGTTCAGTAATCCGTATTACTGCTTTCTGTCAACTAAAACATCCTGATAGAAATACTAGAAAGCAAGAGTGCAAATGCTTGAGTCTTTTAGCACTGTTAGAAGTAAAACTTGATTGTTCATGTTAGTTTCATGGATCTAAACAAACAAACAAACAARCAAACAAACTGTAAGTCTGAGCAGAGGTCACTTCACTTTTGGATGTGACTTACCGGTCTTTAGAGCAGCAGCTAGGATTTTATGCTTTTTTTTCTTTTTAGAAAACATTTAGCTTTCATAAAAGCCTTGATTTATTTCCTAGGCACAAGAAACATGTGTAAAGGAACGCTTACATGAATGCTCTGCCTTACAAATTTATGTTCCATATTTCTCACAATATCCATGTCCCTAATAGCTTCTGGAAGGACCTATGGCTTTGTACCAAAGAATGCTCGACTGGCAATTCCTCAGGTCTGCAGAGGCAGCACTGCCACCTGGTGTTCCTCCCGGGCAGCCCAAGAGACACTGCTCCTGCAAGCTTTTCTAACCAAAGAGATGTTGGCTRTTTCACCTCTTTCTTGCCACCACCTTGGATTTTGATGCTCTCTCTGCTTGTTATTCAGACACTTATTGTCACTTCATTTTATTCTTGTTAGCAGCAAATCGACTGCAGCATTTTCAAATCTAACCCAGCCATGCCTCTTGTTTCCTTAATATCTAGTTTTTCCTAAGTGGAATTCAAATTACTACTAGACAGCTGTCTTCCTACCAGTCAGCAGTTTACAAACAGCAAATGATGGCATTTTCAGCCCCTTCCTTTCTGAGCAAGTACACATGCTTCTGTACACAAAACATGCTCTTGTGCTTTCCCACACCCTTTTCAGCACTGAGGTTTCCTAAGCCACTCATGCTGAGCTGAGACTACAACCCCATGCACTTACTCTTATAGAGAAGAATAAACAAAGTCTTATATGGGCATGGTAAATGAGTCGAGGACTGCACCACAGTCTTGTAGGAGAGAAATGGAATGGAAACTAAATGAAAACTTTTTTCTGCAGATATATTCTCATAACATTTCTGAAACAGTGTTTGAAATACCCAAAGAAAGGAGTATCTCCTGAATAGAAGGAATTCACTCTAGTCACAGTCCCCAGTTACTATACGCAGGATTGTTATGTGCAAACATACAACTGACAGCTACAGAGCAGATGTCCGTGGTGCTGTCTCGTCTTTGAAAATGCTAATGCAGCTGACACTGTGTTAACTTGTTTTCTTTTCTGTGAGCACAAAATGAAAATGCAAAGCAGTTCTTCAGAGAGCATGCGGCAGGCATCTGCTTTGGACCAAGGTCTTTAGCAGATCAGCAGCTAAAACTTTGCGAGCCAGAGAGTCACAAAAGGTCTTGGCAAGCCTGGGGGAAGCCAGGCAGTGACTGTACGAGTCGCYTGCACAACATTCTGGTTCCCATTTCGACCAACTTCCTAGGAAACAGAAATCCATTGTAAAGAAAAATTTTTCATCTGGAGGTGAGTGATTCAAATACATCCCAGGTCATTAATGTCTGTGACTCCYGCCCAAGAAAGGCTTTCCCAGAGGTGAGCAATCCCATTGACCATGAAGCACTACGAGGTAGGACCACCTCTGAAGGGCCCAGTCATAAACTGGTTCTGCCTCACGTAGAGTAATGCATGTTGACAGTACCAATCTATCAGTGCATGGGCAAGTAACAAAAATAAATTGATGCATGTAACRCTGAAGACTTAATTAACTATCTTCCTGCCTGACAAAAGCCTTTGAATTCCACTTGTTAATTCTTTTTGCAGCCCCATAATCTGTGTTATAATTAACAAATATCATTCAAGAGTATAAAAAACACAGGAATGAAAAACACAGGAGATAGGTTTTTAACATATGAGGCAGATTTGATGGAATCTCAGGAGCATTTTACTCTAATGCACTCTTACTTTGCTGCATTCATGGATCATGAGCTAGTGTAAAACAATTTTAGGTTTGCAATTAGTCAAGTGGAGTTGAAAAAGAAAGAAACTCTTCTCACCCAGGCTATGCTCTTCTTTTTTTCTGTTTTCCCATTTTGAGCTGTCCACATATGCTGCAGAAAGAAGAGATCTTCTACCTAAAGAAAAAAAGAAATTTACCGTATTTATTGAGCTAGATGCACTAAACTGCCTTTACGTTAGAAGCTGTGAGAAGCAGCTATTGTAATAGTTTGCAATCCCTATATTAGGCCAAGCCACTACCTTTTCATTTTTAATACAACAAATTTTCCCCTATTTTTTTGTCCAGCAAGAGACATGTTTCCTCCAAATGGAAATCCATTTTTAAGAAAATTATAAAAGTAGGAAAAAACAAACTACAGTAGAGAATAACTCTCTTTCGCTCATATGGACCCATTTTGTCAAATGCTTGTATTTAGCAGAATGCAGACATAAAAGCATAAGCATAAAACCCTTGCGCATCACTAACACAATGAGGCCTTGAAGACACACGAACATGACAGTAACATTTGTTGAAGGAAGATCACAAGTTTGCAAAAATTAATATTAAGAAATGTGAAGCATTTTAAAAATAAACATGACTATGGTAATTACTACGCTATCCAGAATTCTTAGCAACTGCCTTAAAACTATTAGAAGTTATGTATCTATTGTGTTATGTATCTATGAATATGTATCTATTGCCAACAAAGCTTTGCTCCTGCTGAAGCCAACCAATTATCCTCCCGTATCATTTTTCTGACGTTTACGGATGCCCATCTTCTGAACATCTTTGCAGTATTTTTTCCCCGAAAGACCTGCTACTCGCGAGTCCCACAGTCATAATAACAGAATATTATATCATAGCTTCCAGCAGAAGGCTGGGTTTTTGAAGACAATTCTGTTTACAATGACAAGTGATGTGTATGAAAGGACTTATTTTTTCATGAGATGAAGGGTTTTTGTGCGTGTTTCTTCACAGCCAAAGATGGCACCCGACAGCATGAGCACGGGAAAAGCAGCTCTGCGCGGTGGCTGCGGGTAGGTGAGGGGCAGGCGGCTGGCACCGCTCGCGGCACCAGTGCACGCTACTCGGGGCACCAGGCGACCCTCGCGCCCCTTGTGCGGAGCTCTGACAGCGGCGCCGCGCGGGCCCGCGCCCGCCATGCGGCCCCGCGCAC